AGTTACCCTATATTATTGTGTCATCGTATGAAAATGTATAGAAAAATAGAAAAAAAATGTTATAAAATATTTATAATTATCTTTTAATAATAAATTATGTAAAAATTTAGAAAGTAATAAAATATTACAAAATAAAATTTTTCACAATATATATTGAATTACAATGAAAACAATTAAATTCGAAGTAATCCGAAAACAATAAACTTGAAACAAAATATGTTAAAATACTAGCTATTGAATTTTGAAAGTTTACGTTATCGTTAAAAAATTTAACATTGAAATTTGAAGGTTTTTGATAATGAAATAATACATATTGAAATTTAATTGTTAAATTTTGATTTTGAAGGGTTACGACACAATTGATAACTTTCAAATCTAATGTTACGATATAATTTCAAAAGTTTTCAAATTAATATAATTACTAATGTATTAATAAGAATAAAATTGAAGAACAATATGAAGAATTTGATGAATTTAATCAAAATATAATAGAAACAATGGATTTGTATACTGTACAAATTGAAGAGTTACATGAGGGAATGGAGGAAGTAGCTAAGGTTCTAACAAATATAGCAAAAAGACTTTTTACTATTGAAAATCGTCTTGATGAATATGATCAAGTCTTAAAAAAAATAATAATAAAAAAAAAAAAAAAAAAAATAGAAATGAGAGAAGAAACAAATAACCCAAATATATTAAAAACATTAGACAATATGTCTAAGGGATTAGCTGATTTGACTAATATAAGTAAATGTTTGAACTATACTTGCATGCAAAATTATTTTGGAATCCCAAAATTGCAATTTCGAGGAAAAAAGTTGAAATAGTTTTTCATGGAAGACAAAATTATTTTACTTAAAATCTGAAATTTTTTGACTACCCAGATTTATTCTTTAATTAAAGATACATATAACTAGGTACTTTTTTTACTTCCATATATAGAATAGATTTTGTATAAATCTCAAAAAGTCGAAATACCTCAAAAATCCAAAATCAATTTTGGGAACATGTATAGTTTGAACCGTATACAGTCTGAAAATCCAAATAGACATTATTCAAAAACTAATTGGGAAGGTGCATAGGATTTTATGTAATTTTTTGCTCTAAAAATTAGTTTTAATATTAGTGAATATAGTGTTACCCTTGGTTTATCTTCTAAAAAAATCAAGATTGGTAATGGAAATTATATTTATAGACTTTAAACATTATAATAATTAACTACAGCTGAACAGGTATTACTATGAATAAAGTAATGATAAGAAGGATTTGGGTAAGGCAAATTTGGTTAAAAGAGATTAAGGGTATGAAGTTTTATAGGGATTTACTAATTAACTATTGTTATAAGTCACAAAAACAACAAAGTTTACTAAGAAATTAACAAATTTGCAAAGAACTTAATAACTTAATCTGGATTACAAAGTAGGGTTAAATTTTAAGTAACTATAATACCAAAGTTACGAAGTAGAGTATTATTAACAAATAATTACTTTTATCATCAAGAAGAAAATAATAATAACAAAGATTGTCAAGATCATAAAACAAAGCAAATAACAAGAAAGTTTTCACTAAGAAAGTCACAATATAAACTATATAATTCACTAAGAAAAATATCAGTTTATAAACAATGTTTTTATTTTCAATTATTAAAATATTCAATTCTATGTCAACTGTTCTTTCAAGAGAAATAGAAACAGCTTCTATTTATATAAAATTAGGATTATTAATGCTGGAGGTAATTTTGCCTAGGTATTTTACCAGTAGCTCCCAGAAGTATTTTACCTTACATTGTATAATGTTATATATCTGAGGTATTTTACCTCTATTATGTAAATACTGATAATATGATACAAGAATATAAATATACTAAACTAAAAATAGATAAGATAATACATATATGAAATACTAATATAATAATAAAATAATAATAATAAAATGAGTTATAATAAGAATATATATATATATAAAAAAATAAAGAAACAGGATCAACAACGAATATTTATCTACTATTAATCTTCTATCTAAATTTTTTTCTGCACAAATGTTAGTATATAATTTCTTAATCTATAGTTCCGTGATAGGTTAATATTCCTTTCCAACAACTTTTTGCTTAGATTGGTCAAAAAGAATTGGGTGGAAACATGATCATTAATTGTTTTAGGTAATACTAAGGTAATGATAAGTTGAACTATTATGTTATTAATTTAACCATAACCAGTTGTATTAAATATATTTGTAGTTTTTATAAATTTGTTTAATTTTTATCAATTGCAAAATAAATTGTTTAATAAAGCATGACTCTGTTGGAATTAAAAAAAAAATATGATTTTTCATAAATCAAATACAAAAGAATAGGTATATCAAAAAGGAATTCTTATTTTAATTAATTTATAATATAGAATATAATAAGATAATCTATAATATATGAATTCTGATTTTTAATTAATTTATAATATAGGAATTATACTTGTACGCAAAATTATTTTGAGATCCTAAAATTGTAATTTCAGAGAAAAAAATTGAAATAGTTTTTTATAGAAGACAAAATTATTTTACTTAAAATTCAAAATTTTTTGATCACCTAGATTTATTCTTTGATTAAAGATATATATAACTGAATACTTTTTTTATTTCTATAAATAAAATAGATTCTGCATAAATTTTAAAAAGTCAAAATATCTTAAAAATCCAAAATTAATTTTGAAAACATGTATAATAAAAATCACCATTTGTCTATATTGATTATTATAAAACCATTGTCAAATTCTTTATAAAAGTAAATTCTAATTATTAACATAATTGATATAATAATTTAATACTACAAGACTAACTTGTATACAATAATTTATTATAATTGAAATATTTGAAGGACAAAAGTTAAAATAGTTTTTATTTTTATTTCTATTTTTTTGTATTAAGGTCAACTCTCATTTAGTTCTCAAAATTTCTACTAATAATTCTACAAGTATTACAAACCTCACAACTTGATCATCCACTTTATATAATGAACCGTACTGGACCAGTAGGATATTATCCTTCAAGATTCCAAGTTACAAACTTACTATCAGTAATCTTAACAGAATACTACAGTGAACTGATAGATATTATACTGAGATATCATTGTAGAAGGGTAATGTTATATTACAAGATCACATCATATCTAGGATTTTTCTATCCAGATACCCTTGTAATTAAAGGATACAGAATCTGGAAATTTATATACTCTTCACTTAATAGTGACTAGGCTATCTATCATAATTGCTATTATGACTAAGTACAAGGTATAGAGTTTATACCCTTTATTTGCTTTTCCTTTATCACCAATATAATAAATATTTCAAAAATTGAATTCAATCTTTAAATCACTAATCTAAGCACTAGCCATCTCATGTGAATCCATATACCCCAATTTATATAACCAGTTAGTGAATATTTACACATGACATTCAAAAGGATATAGATAATTTTCTTTTAAACAAGGATACTAGTTGATACCTGTTAAGCCTTGGATTATGGAAAGATCATTATCTATACTAATTGTAACTAGTTGGAATTAATCTATTAACCTTATGACTTGGTTCTGGTGCACTAGTCACTAGATTATAGAAATCAAAGTGTCAAAATAATTTTTTATAAAAGATAATGAAAATATATTAAACTAGATATTTTTTTATTTTTATATATAAAACAGATATATTAGTTTTTTAAAAAGATGAAATATCTTAATTTGAAAACATGTATAATATATAATTAAATTTTAGTAATTGAATCAAAAATTTTTTTTTTTTTGTTCCAGTGAGGCCTTGCCTCAAATTTATTAATTAGAAAAAGAGAAAGTTTTTTACATTACATAGGATTACATAATACAAAATACACAACTTATTCTAATGTTTATTTGAAAAGATGAGACTCAGACTAACTCATAAGAGACAGGTTTACAACCTACCACCTGAATTAAGTCAAGAATTTTTTACTTTTGATAACATATATATTTTATATTAACTAAGCTTTTCAATTTTATAATGGAAGAATACTTGAATCAAATCTTACTATATTACTAATGTTTGTTTCAATTTCTTTTTTTTTTGATCACATGTTTTGACATCAGCAGTTACACCTATTACTATTTCTGTAAAGGAATGGTTATTTGTAATAATAAAATTAAAATTTTTGTTAATTGATCAGAAGTATTTCTGGTAATGCACTTAGGTCTTTTATTCATTATAGAGTAAAAGAATATATGAAACTAAATAATAAATATATACATAACCATATTTTGACTGTGGAAATATAAGAAATTGCTCTTATGTAAAAATTGTACTATCAGACCAGGACATGAAAGGTATAAAGTACTTTGACATTACGAAATAAATTAGAATTTGGTGTTTTGTTGATTTTTTCTGAAGATTGATGGATCACATGAAAGATTGGAAGGTTCTAGAGGAAAAGGTTTATTGGACGAATTATAGTGTTCTTTCATCCTAGTATCAAAACTTTCAAATAGCACGTGCCGCAATCAAAACAATGTGTTTTTATTCCGAATTGGGTTACTTTTGCATTTGCAACAATGATGCAATAGGAATCTTGATATAAAAAGAGGGGTAATTCCCACAAAACAAAGGTTTTCTCTATACCCCTTCTTCACTCAACAATTCTTAAGTCAAGCCACCCTACGCCAGCACAACAATCCAAAATGGCACTTAATCTATTGGAAATATTATCCAAAGATTACAAGACACTTTTGGAAACTGGTGACTTTGCTGATATTGTTATTCAAGTCGGCGAAGGACCACAGGCCAGAACTTGGTTTAAAGCTCATTCACTCGTTTTAAAGGCTCGGTCCCCTTATTTTCGGAATAAACTGGCTACTGATTGTTCAAATGTGGTTGCGTTTAATGAACCAAATATTAGTCCAAAGTTGTTCAGTGTGCTTCTAATGTATGCTTCAAAATATGTCTATATTTTTTATGTAGTATAATAATAATAATAATAATAATAATAATAATAATAATAATAATAATAAACAATAATAATAATAATAATAAACAATAATAAATATTTTTTTTAGGTATATTTACTTGGGAACTATTGAACTTGAGGCGTATAGTGCACCAGAAATAATGTATCTTTTATGTGGTGCTCGTGAATTGTGTCTAAGGGAATTAGTCGATTTTATTCAAGACTACCTCATTGAAAAAAAGGATCTTATCAAAAGACATTTCTTTTTTGTAGCCAGAGCATCATACAATCATTTTGAGAAACTCTCAATGCACTGTAACAACATTCTCAAGGAAGATCCTGCGACTTTTATTAATTCTCAGGATTTTATCACCATCAAAAAGAATGAGTTACTTTCTTTTTACAAGAATCATCCTACCAACATAAGGGAAATTATTTTGTGGGAGAAACTTGTTGAATGGGGAGTTGCTCAATTTCCTTCGATGACATTGGATCTTACTACGTGGACCGATGAAGATTTTGAATCTCTAAGGGAATTGATGGACCCTTTTATTTCATACATCGATTTCCACAAGGTCACTCGTAGTGAATTCCTTAAGAATATAAGACCATTTAAGAAACTATTCGATGATAGTTTCTATATCGAAATTTTAGAATATCATACTTTCCCGGAACTAACCTCCGAGTCATTGACACCGGAAGTATTATCATCTCCTAGTAATACTAACTCTAGTACTCCAACAATATCATCTTCAACACCATCGCCAAAACAACAACAACAATTTCGACCAACACTCGTGTCGCAACCGCAACCACAGATTTCTACTAGTAATGGAATGTTGACTAATGAATATGCAAAATTAATGACCCGGTGGATCAATGATACTACAATGACGAATAAGAGTACCAATTATACTTTCCGTCTATTAATTCGAGGATCAAATCACGGATTCTCTTCGAAAGCATTTCACGATAGATGTGATATGAAAGGTCCAACTTTAACATTTATTCATATCGCAAAAACCGATGAAATTATCGGTGGATATAACCCATTGAATTGGGTTGTTGATAAATCCAGAGGAATTTATCAAAAAACAAGAAATAGTTTTGTTTTTTCTTTGAATAAGACGGAATTGGAACGATCTATTTACAGTAGAGTAATAGATGAGGCCCATGCAGTTTATTCACACATCGATTTTGGTCCATGTTTCGGTTCTAGAAAGTATGATTTAAAATTATATGGAAAATTTGATGAAGGAAATGGGAATTGTTGTAATAAGAAAAGTTATTCGAAGCCTATTAGAAATAGTGGGGATAGTTTTAGAGTAAAAGAGTATGAGGTTTATCAGGTGATTAGGATTGCTCGAGTCGAGAATACGAATGAGCTTTAAATAGTGGTCACGGTGGCATCCATGTTGAGTGCGTCTTTATTTTTCGTAAAATTTTTTCAAACGTTTTGTTATCTTTTTTTCTTTGCCCGGTTCTTTATTTCTATAGTAGATTTTATACAGTTTCATGGTATAGAATAATTCTTAAGAAAAAGGAGCAGAATAATGTGACCAATCAAGAAGAAATGCGATTTTTAGAAAAATTTAGTTTTTTGAATTTATTTTCTGCTTCTCTGTCTCATGTGGATTCTTATTATTTTTTGCGTTCTATGATTTTTGCGATTTAATTTAGTATAAGTTTTTTTTTTTTTTTAGATAGTGATTTATTCGAGACCCGCAAATCACTCTATATTTTTTTTTTTTGATCAAATATAATCTACAAAGTTTTGAAAATATATCACACAGATTATTAATGAAACCACGTTCTGGGAGAAAATAAAACCTTATTCTCTTTTGTTGAGAGAAATTAAATTTTTTATTCTTGGATTTTTTTTTTGATTTCTCCTTTAATAAGAATAAGAATTTATTTTGACACAGTTAAAAGGTCAATATATTATACATATTAGAATTTAAATTTTGAAGATGAACTTGGTTATTTATGTAATATATATTCATTAACCAAATTGGGGCATTATCATAATTCATTTCTTGAATAGTCGTACAAATTATTTTTCCGCATGAAATGACATGTGATCGAGTTAAAAGTATAAATATCCAACATTTCCAGATTTTCATTAGCCTCTTTAAAAAAAATAAAATAAAATAAAAAAAATAAAATAAAATAAAAAAAAATAAAATAAATAAAAAATAAATAAAAATAAAAACTCTTAGCAAAGAATGAACTTTAATCACTTTATTCGAGATGGTGACTTTGTATTTTGTGAATACGAAAAACTCGAATCTATAGCTAAAGAATGTGATTTGGATATAGTTCATAAAGAAAAAATATTAGAAGGATATCAACTTTACATAGTTGAACAATGGTAAATAATTATTTTTAAATTAGTTAAATTATTATTCTTTTAAATTATGTTCTTTAAATTATTAAATTATTATCTCTAGAATGAATTGTTATCTATAAAATAAATTAATAATTATTATTAAAATTATTTAAGGGTTTGTGATAAAAAAGTTAGGTTTTACAATACAGTGACCGTTTTTACTGGAGTTCCTTCTCACCGGGTAATTTGAATAATTTGAGTAGTTTTAGTAATTTTAATAATTTGAGTAATTTTAATGAATTAATTATTATCATTTTTTTCATTGCTTGCTTTAACTTTTATTAGATCACAGTATGTTCTATTCACATTAAAAAGTTAGAAATTTATCCATTTAAAATTGAACAAATGTTTAAAATGTTAGAAGAAGATAATACGCGACAGAAAGTTGTAAGTCTTCCCATCGAATGATTTCTTGAATTTCTTTTGATCAATTGATTGAATGATTTTTTTTTTTTTTTTTCGATTTCTTGAATTTTCTTTGATTGATTAATTGATATTAATAGACTGATATAGGATTAATTTTTGTGACAAACCTGAGCACATTTCCTTCTTCATTAAATATTATCTTGGTGCCTGATGGAGATTATAAAAAACATTATCTTGAATTTTATTTAAATTCAAATTTACGAAAAATTGGTTGCAGTGGAAGAAGCGCTTTATCTTTAAAACCACCAACGTAAGTTAACTTTATTTAACCTTAACCATATGTTATATTTATATAATTATAATAAAAAAAAAAAATTCATTTTTTTTTAGTGACGCTCAAAAAGATAAATTTTATCAATTATATTCAATATCCGAAATGGCACCCTTTGAAGTTGCCGTTTTGGAATTAGTAAAATTGGTTCAAATTTCATTATACATTTTTGATAAATTTCCAATAAGTTTTGTTGATGGATTATTATGTGATTCGACCGAAAATGCTCTTAGAGAGTTCAATAGAGAATATAAAAGCATTACGGTAAATAATTAATTAATAAATTTTATAATAATAATAATTTTTTTTTTTTTTCAATAATTCTTAATAATTTTTAATTAATAGTTTCGTGATAATATATTGGAACCAGTTTTGGTCGCTGAAATATTGAAAATAATTGTTAATATTCGAAACGAACTTCATTCATTGAATTATCAGGTAAATTATCAATTATTATTATTATATTATTATTATTATTTGTATTATTATTTGTATTATTATTTGTATTTGTATTATCATTATTATTTGTATTATTATTATTATTATTATTATTATCATTATTATTATTTATTTATTTATTTTAAAATAAAGGATGAAGATTAGTAGTAATTTTAATAACATATAAAGATTTCGTGTAGGTTGGAAAAGATCCATTTTCTGATCCGGAATCATTTCTCAACGGGATAGCTGCATTTCAGGTAAAATTTTAATTAAAATTTAATTTAATATAAATCAATATTATTATTATTTAAATTAATATTTATTTAATAATATTATTATTTCAAGAAATCGGTCAAAATAAATATAACACGTAAATTAGACAAACCGACGATAGAGAAAATTCATTTTTATTATGATCGTCAAAGATATCCTGATGGATTAAAAGTACATAAGGTATTTATTATTATTTTATTATTTTTTTTTTGCTATAATTAAATTTATGCTTAAATTTCTGGTTTAAATAATAAATCTTCAGGTTTTAAAGTCCAAGATTGAAGATATTTCTGGAATATCTGGTATTTTATTATCTATATATAATTTATATATTTGTATTATTTATTTTCCTGTATATTATGTATGTTATAAAATCTTATAATATAATATATATATATATTTATTTATTTATTTAGCACCTTCAGCAACCGACATTGAAACATCAAGTTTAGAAAAGTTTTGGAAAAATGTGAATATTGACAGTTTGAGATATTTATGGAAAGGAAAAAAAGAATCATCACAACAATTAAATGACTCCGATTGGTTTCAAGGAGGAAAAGAATTAGGGAAGAGTTTTTTGCGTGGTGTTTCTGGTCGAACTGTAATGTATTATTATTTATGCATTTGTATTTAATATTTATATATTTAATATTTATATATAATATTGATTACCTTTACAATTTATAGGCAAAGACTGGAGAAGTATTAAAAGGAAGTGTTGGATATATTCGAGGTGTAACTGGGTATTTTATTTAAATATTCTTAATATGTTTAGTAATTTTAAATATTTTTAATATAATTAATATTTTGAAATAAAATAATTTTTTTTTTAATACTTTGTTGTAGTTCACTTTCAAGAAGTGGATCACCAGTAGAGAAGATATTTAATCCGCCCGCAAAGACACCATCATTACCTCCTTACATTTTTAGAAATAGAACGTCAAGAAAACGTCCGGAGATTGTTTCACGAAGGTCAAGAAGTTCAGATGATAATAATAATTGTCGATCTACAAAGTATAATTTATTATGTTTTATTAAATTTATTTATTATATCTATATTTAAAATAATAATTGAAATAATTAAAATAATTAATATTTTATAGTCATTTAGGAAGACTTAAAAGATTTAGACTTTCAAGACCGAATGAAGCTCAAATTGGTTTTAGTAAGCATAATTAAAAAAATCATTTAAGAAATTCTTATACGTATACGATGAAAATAATAATAATAATAATAATAAATGATTTATTATTTGAAAAGGTATAGAAAATTTAATTCAAACAGAAAATGCAATTCAAACAGAAAATGAGGGGAGAAACGAAGATAATATAAATTGTTCATCTGAAGATGAGTCAGATGAATTACCATTTGATAATAGAATACGAAGAATGCGATCACATTCTATGAGTAGTTTTTATGCTAAACAGAAAAAAAAGCAACAAAAACAACTGCAGCACAAAATCACGAGATCAAATTCATTTAATAATTTGGATACAGCCAAGGAACAAAATTCGAAAGAGTTACATTGGTATTTTATATATTTTTATTTTTTAATTTTATATATTATATAAATTATATAAATTAATTATATACATTATATACATTATATGCATTATATATACATTATATATATATATATAGGCAAATAATTGATATGGATATTCAAACATATACAGTATATGAAAATCTTAGACAAAGAGAGAAATCTTTGAGGGAGATTGTTAAAAGTTTAGAGGTAATTATTTACATTATTTGCAAATTATTTGCATTATTTACATTATTTGCAAATTATTTACATTACTTATATTATTTGCATGGTTATAATTTGAGTAGAAAACATCAGAAGAGTATACAGAACAAATTGAGATATTGAATAATACTTATAATGCTCGATATGAAAAGTTCAAGGTACATATATAATTGTATATAAATATATATATATATATAATCTGGATGTATATAATCATATATTTACATTAATAATGGTTAATTTAATTTTAGTCAACAGAAATAAATAGTCGAGAAGCATTATCAATACAAAAAAAAGTTAGTGAATCAATAGATAAAATTGATATACATAGTGCTAAATTGAATTATGAAATTGAAGTATTAGAAGATAAATTAAAAGAAATTGAAGAATTTGTAGATGCATTTTGTCTTAAGGTATTTATTATTTATTGTTATTATTAATTATCATGTATTATTTATTATTATTATATATTATACTTATTATTTATTATCATGTATTATTTATTATCATGTATTATTTATTATTATTATTTATTATTTATTTTATTTATTGAAAATAACTACATTTAACTGGGAGGAAATTCCCCCACTCCTGTAATACATTTTATTATCAAAGTTAGGGTTAGGGTTTGTGTTACTTAAAAATCAATTAGAGGTGTTACATTTTACCAACATTCGATTTTTATTATTTTTTTTTTTGATGTTAAAGTACTATTCGTCACATATTATATATCACCCTGGGAATTTCCCCTTGTTTAAAATTAGCAATACTCTTATTTATTATTATTATTATTTATTATTATTATTATTATTATTATTATTATTATTATTATTATTATTATATTTTATATACATTTAATATTATTTATGTTGTTTCATTAGGTTCAAATTTTGGAATCTAAAATGCCACAATCAGCAAGATCAGTTCAAGCATTTTATAATCTTTGGAATTTTATTTATGATCAATGGAGAAGATTTTATTATTATTATTATTATAAGAAATCAGAGGAAGATGATGAATAAATGAATAATTGTATATTAGTTATATACTCAAATTTTTATTTATTCATCAATTAAACATTTTATAATAATATTTTAATATTTTATATTTTATAATATTTTATAATATTTATTAGATTGTATTTATAATTGTTGTTTATATATTTTTTTATTTTTTACTTTAAATAGAATAATTGAAATTTATGTATTTTTATATTTAATTTTCATGCTCATGCACACGATCACGTACATGTCGCTTGGAATGAAAATAAATTAATAATTTTGGATGAACATTTGGATAATATAATAATAATAATTTTAGTTATAATTATATGTCTATTTTTTTTTTTTTATTTTCTCAATTTTCATACTTTTTTTTTAATACACACTCTAATTATAAGTCTAATCATAAGTCTAATCATAAATCTAATAGTAAACATATTGAATATTCTGTAGTGATTAAAAATTGTGAATTCTTTCATATTATTACAACTTTATAATCTTTTATTATGGTAATCTTTCTCCCAAAATGAAACAATCACCGGAAAAGACACCAGAATGTAAAAAAAAAAGAATACAAAAGAATATGTAAAAGAATATACAAAAGAAAAAAGAAAAAATTTTAAAATCAATCAACAAAACTTCTTTTAACTCTTTTTATATCATGACCTCGATCTATTTCATTATCCTCTGCAAATCTTATAACTCCATGTGTAGTATTAGTAGAATTTAAAGCATTAGATAAATTATTAGACAAAATATTAGAGGAAGAGGAAGAGGAAGAGGAGGAAGAAGAAGAAGGTGAAGATGTAGAAGTTGAAGATGAATTAAGAAAATTATTCATCATTTGTAAATAATCATCATTAATCACAGAAAATGGAACATTTGGATCTGAAATAAATACTGGAACTTGATTTGCTATCCAATTATCATTATTGTTATTGTTGTTATTATTGTTATCTTTATCATAGTTACTTTCATCATTATTATTATTATTTGATGTATTTGATGTATTTGATGAGATGTTGTTGTGTCGATTAGGAATATCAATTTGTCTATTAAAATCGATTTGTCTATTAGTAATAATTGAAGGAATATTCTGATTAGATAAATTTGGTGGTAAAACTTTTAAATGCATGCAATGTCTTTCTAACATTGATAATAAATTTGCTTTAGTGAATGGTTTGGGTAAAATGTCATTCATTCCATGAGAATAATATTTTATGCATTCTTGAGAAGTTATATTTGAAGTCATACTAATGATTGGTGTATTGAGATCAAATCGTCGAATTTGAGTAGTTGCTTCTACACCTAAATAAATACAATTATTAATTAATGTAATTAATGTGATGTGATTAATAAAATTAGTAAAATTAATAAAAATTAGTAAAATGAATAAAAATTAGTAAAATTAATAAAAGTTAATAAAATTAATAAAATTAGTAAAATTAATAAAATTAGTAAAATTAATAAAATTAATGTGATTAATATATAATTTACCATCTAAATGTGGCAAGACAATATCCTATATTGGAAAATAGAAAAATAGTATAATAAAATAATTAATAATATAATAATAATTAATAATTAATACAAATAATATAAAATAATAATTACCATTAATACTAAATCATATTTTTCAAAATTCATTTTATTAACAGCACTTATTCCATCTACGGCAATATCAGTCGAACAACCAAATATTTGTAAAAATTTGGATCCCATATTTTGATAAACTGCATCATCATCAACCAAAAGAACTTTGGGAGGAACTGTCCAAGTTGGCGTAAATGTACTGCGATGAACTCTTACAGTATTCGTTAATCTTTTATTATTATTATTATTGTTGTTGTTGTTGTTGTTGTTGTTGTTTTTGTTGTTTTTGTTGTTGTTTTTGTTGTTGATGGAAGCAATTTCTGTAATTTGAGGTATATTTTGTATAATTTGTATATTTGAATTATCATCATCATTATGATTATTGTTGTCATTATTGTTGTTATTATTGTTGTTATGATTATTGTTTATTGTTATTGTTGATGCATTTGATGTATTATTATTTATTGATAATGATTGTGTTCGTTGCCTTGGTGTTAAATGTCCAACAGTAAAAACAGTAAATGCATTATTGTTGCTATTATTATTATTGGAATCTAATGTTTGTAAATTGTTATTATTATTATTATTATTTGATAATTGAAGTGCTGAATGATTATTAGCAGAAGGATTCATAAAAGTAGAATTGGTAGAATTAGAAGATAATAAAATATTCATATTTGACATGACATTATTGACATTATTATTATTATTATTATTATGATTATTATTATTATTATTATTATTATGATTATGATTATTATTATGATTATGATTATGATTATTATTATGATTATGATTATTATTTATTAGGTGATTACGTCTTGAAATATCATTCATTTGATCATATGAGGATTGAGCAATTTCAACATATGAATTAATTAATCTTTGTGCTCGTTCTGAAGGAATTGTATTAATATAATCTGATGAATTATTTCTTAGTTGATTTTCGTGAACACGAGAAATACCCGATTTTTCTTTTTAAATAAATAAAATATAATAATTAAATATAATAATTAAATAATAAATAAATAAAAATATAAATAAAAATCTAATAAAATACCCATTTCTAAATTAACTAAATGTTGTACCAAATTCTGAATTAATTGATGTTGATCAGACATATTTTTTTGTAATTTCAATAAATCTTGAACCACGGATCGATAATTGGTGCTCAAAGTGTGAAGATGTTCGTTTATATTAGTTTGAAGTTCTGTTATATTATTCACTTGTGTTGATAATTTATTCACTTGTTCTGTCATTATATGATGATGATTGGGATCTTCATTTGAGCATACTGTTCCATTTTTCCGATGTGATGGAGTTTTTCTCTAATAATAATAATAATATATACATTAATGATTTATACATTAATGATTTATATTTAATGATGATTTATATTTATATTTACTTTGATATTTTCCAACTGATCACGCTTACTACAGTGAAATTTGGGATGATAAAATTCCCATGCCTATAATTATATTTAATTATATTAATAATTATATTAAATCAATCAATTAAATTAATCAAATCAAATCATAATCAATTGATTACCTGATCACCATATAGAGTATCCGAATCATCCGAATTTCTTACTTTATGAAAATCATATTTATTAAGTTGTCGTACAAAACTAGCGAAATTTGAATGTTTAAAGTGACGTGGAAGTATTGTTTTCGTGAATGCATCGATTTCCTTTATAATTAAATATAATTTAATTAATTAATTAATTCATTCATTCATTAATTCATTCATTCTAAGCAAATGATGATTAAAATGATTAAAGATGATGATTCTTAAAATTTGTGATTATTTACTTTAACTACGAAACTTTCACCGTTTACTCCCCATGATACAATATCACTATAAGAATCATCATCCAACATCCTAATAATAAAATAATAATATTATTATTTATCAATATAATATTTATAATAATAATAATAATAATATATCTAAAATATATTCTATTAGAATATATTATAAATATTATAAAATATTATAAATATTATGATAAAATATTAAGAAATATTATCTTTACTTGAATAATTTTTTAACAAAGTCAGGTCCTCCCGAATTATTCATTGTTGATTTAAATTATTTTTTGATAGTGATTTCCGAAATCTAGTTTTTTAATTATCAAATTTTTTGGTCTGAAAATTTTTTTTTCTTGTTCGAAGTTTTTTTTTTTTAAGTCAAAATTTTTTTTAATTTAAAAGGTGAGAATTTTCACGAATAAAGTTATATGTTGTGAAACAAGTTCATTGTAGCCAACTTTTTTTTATAAAAATGGAAAGTTAATTGTATTTACAATACAGATTATTAATGTATATTATTTTATATATGTAATTATGTAATTATTATTATATAAATGTATAAATATATATAAATATTATTATTAATATTTACAATTTAAATTCACATTTAGCCTTGCTTTATAAAATTCTGTTAAATGCTATCTGTTAAATTCGGTCTAAATTCGTCAAAATCTGGTAAATATTATTAAATGCGTTAAAATGTTTTTTAAAAAAAAATCTGCAAAGATAATTTAATATATGAAGAAAAAAAAAATTAAATAAATGCATATTTTTCATCGTTTCACCACCACCCCCTCCCCTTAAAATGTAATGATGAAATAATAATTTTCTGCATTCAAGAAAATAAGTAAATAAATTAATAATTAAATAATAAATAAAATAATTTAAATAATAATATTTGACCAGGTTTAGAAAAATGTTTACTTGTTACCAAGCCTCAATCTATTTTCAATGAATGAATTATATTAAAATTTATCTACATATTTTTTCTACATATATTTCCATATATATATTTTTTTAACATATTTTTATATTATATTTTTCTATTTCTTTTTTATTTCTTTTCTATTTCTTTTCTATTTCTTCATTTAAGTATCTTCATGACGTGACATGACATGAAATAAAATAAAATGAAATGAAAATAATTAATAAAATCTTTATTTTCATTCGATTATTTTGGTGTTGACACGCACAATGTTTGCTCATTATACAAGATGTATTTGATGTTCTAGATATTCTCGATATAATTCGATTGTACTCGATGTACTCGTTATATATGTACCTTAGCTGTTAAATGATCTTTTATTTTCTTAAAAAATTAATGGTATATCTTATTATTCATTCATTACAATGCACAATCTTTATTACATGAATACCGAATTTTCCACGGTGAACCGTAAGCTGTAATATTAAATAATAGATTGTACCTATTTTCGTGAAAAAAATAGACGAATAAAAAAATCGCCTACTAAAAACAGCGGAAAAAGTGAAAAAATAACGGAATCAAAAATTATTACAAAGATTACACAAAGAAATGAATAATATCATATGAATATAAAAATCGTTAATAAATATATTGCATAACCTCTTAAAATGCATTGACTCGAGCTACAAGCATAACGTATAACGTACATATAAATTATATAAATTGAGATCCAACAAGTTATTTTCTTTATACAATATTGTGCAATCACTGAAGCTCAACAAAAAAAAAAAAGATCCGATCTTCAAAAATTGGTTGAGCACGAGTTCAACACCATATCGAAAGTGAAATAAAAAAAATATGCAGTAACATGTATTATGCATACAAATCTAGCAAATTTGTAAATTAAAATTCTTTTAAATTTGTGAATGGTTTCTATTAAGAGTATCCTTAAAATGGAACCTGGTCTAGACTTTTTTATCTTAGACACTCTGTATAAATAAATTTTTTAAGTAGTTAACATGTGATAAATACAATTGTGATAAATTCACCCCTTCTATTAAATTAGAGATTGAACATTCAATCAATCTAAAATCATCCGTTTTCACCCCGAATATTCAGTTTGCTTTTAGAGCGGTTCCAATTCTTATATTAAATCAAGAAAAAGTGGTGATATGATTAAAGAGAAAGCCACGTTTTTTTTTTTTGAATTGTATCCTGATGAAAAATCATGTCTTTTTTCTAAGGTTAGAAAGTTTTATAAAGCCTATACTAAACATGGTAAAAGCAGATCTGCAGATTTAACTTCATTTAAGATGTATCATTGTTTTTTTTCATTGTGTAATTTGTTCACGTTAGAAATTGAAAATCAGATGAATGTTATTAAAGTAATTAAGATCACCAGTGATGATTGTCATCACTGGGCAAAGTTAGGATTAGGGGTGGGGTTGATGTAATTTTGACAATCACCACTGGCGAGCACCCAAAAAATGAGAATAACGAAAATGAAGAATTAATGAAGGTGATGATACTGTAGAAAGAACAAAAGATTACATGCAATGAGGCAGCAAGCATGTTAAATTCTTTAGAACTTTTTTTTTTCTTAAACAAACGAGAATTGTAGTGAAATCTTTAAATATATTAATATTCAAAAAAAAAAAAAGTATTTTCTATTAAACAAAAGAATGTAATTCGATTACCAATTAATGAATACTTTAATGTATTATATTCAGATGATAAGTTAGGTTAGATAATTTAGATGAGCTTTTTTGACAACAATCAATAATTTGTAATGTGGATAATACGGATAAAATAATATTCTATAAAAACTAAAAAAAAATCAAATGTTTATATGAGATTGAATTCTAATTTGAGAATTTGGTTTTAAAATTGCAAATGGATAAACTTTGGTAGGAAAATCATTCCAACCCATTAAATCAGGAAATCTTCTTCCATTTACAGAAAATCCCAATCTCTTTGAATTCATATCCAAATGTACAGTAATTACAGTTCCTTTTTTAAATTCTACTACTGCAGAATTTTTTTGATCATCATCATCATCACCATTAATAATTTTTCCTTTGGATAAAGGAGGGGTAAGAATTGGAATATATTCAATTCTTTGTTTCCCATGTACAAAATTTCCATTCAATGTACATAAATACCATCCTTGTGAAGAATTTCTATCATAAGACAAAGAACAATTATATTCTTCACCACAAATACCAATACAAACATATTCAGATAACTTTTCTAGTACAATATCCCATTCATGAAATCCATTAGTTAAAGAATGATTAGCTCTTGCGGCTTGAGATGAAAAGTAGGAATGTGAAGTAAGAACATAATCATTTTCAATTATTTTAAGTTTTGAACCAATAAATTTAGAACTCCATTTGAAATCATAAGTAATAGTGGGTTCAGAAGGTGTAGGCGGAGGTGGTGGTATTTGCGCCAAAGGAGATGAAAGGGGCGATGAAGATGAAGGAGATAATGATGGATTAGAAAGAAATAATGATCTTGTTGGATGAGTACGAGAAGAGAATGGAGATGATAAATCAGGAGATGATAAATCAGGAGGAGGAAAAGAAGAAGAAGAAGAAGGTGATGATGATGATGAATTGGAAGAAAATTGCTGAGGAAGATTAACTAAAGAACCCGCAGAATTTTTTCTAACAGAAAAGAATTGTGGTGATGGTGATGGTGAAGAAGTAGATCGTATTACTATAATTGGTTCGGAATTTTTACGAATAGAAAATTTTGAAATTGGATGTGCACGTGGATTATATGAATAACTATTGTGATTGTTGTGATTATTGTGATTATTGTGATTACTATCATTATGATTATTTGTTGAATTACTATTATGATTATTATTGTGATTAAAATTGTGATTATTATTGTGATTATTATGAATAATATTCATTCCTCGGAAAGGAGGCAAAGGATTCTTTTCTTTTAAATGAAATTTAAATGCTTCCATCAAAATTTTACTAGGTATAATTTCCAAAGGTTCAATTAAATCAGCTAACATAGTACCGTTAATTCTTCTTAAATCAATAAATTCCATTAAAGGTGTCAAGATTTCAAAAATTGGTGAGGAATAATCTTCAATAATATTATTTAACATTCTTATAGAGTGTAATCTTTTTTCGTCATTATTTTCTATATTATTATTCTTATTATTTCCAATATTCTTATTATTGTTATTGATATTATTATTATCATCTACATTATTGTTATTAATATCATTATTATTGTCATTAACATTATTATTATTATTATCATTATTATTATTATAAGAATAATTCCATTTTGGTAATTTAAGTTCAAGAATAGAATATGCTTCACTTGATATTATTTTAGCACAAATTAAAATAGAGTAACGAAGAATGGAATATTCGCTTGAAGCGAAAATAGAATTTTTAGTGGAAGATAAAAGACATTGAAGAGCATTGAATGATAATGAACCAACTTCAATATTATCCAATGAAATCTTTGACATCAATTCTATCAATATATTAATTATCTTGCATGATGATGATATCGTAAGTGGTGATGATGGTGATGATGGTGATAATGGTGGTGATGATGATGGTGATGATGATGATGATGATGATGATGATGATGAAATTGTTTGTGATGTTGCTGATGTTGCTGTTGTTGTTTTTGTTGATGATAATTGTACAGCCTTTGATAATAATTCAGGAATTTTCTTAATTGATATGTTGTCAATTATTTTTTGAAAATAATTTTCAATTTCCAATTCTAATTGATCTAATTGAAAATAATTAGCAGCATAATATAAATCGATTATATTATCTTCAGTTAATTTATCCAATTCTATAATTTCTGTATATAAATAATTAAATATAAATAACATTGAAGGTGAATCAATATTTTGAAATACAATATATTTCTCGAAATTTTCTCTATTAGGAGTGTGAATAAATGGAGTTAAAGGAGTTTTAAGAGAATTAGGAAAAAGAATTTGATCTATTGTATGAGATCGAGCAGAAAGTATTGATCGAATTCCATGAACAATTACTCCATCTTTACAGAGAATTTCCACATCACAATAACGATGATTATTAACTAAAAAACGAAGATCTGTCAAAAGCGATTTCCCACGGGTGATTGTTGAATTTCCTGCATAATTAACAAACAATATTGTACATTGTTAATAATAATGCAATGTAATCAATACAAATATTAATACAATTAATACAATATAATTAATATCTACTTTTTATATTGTAATTATCACCAGGGGTATAATTGTCGAAAATTTCTGCTAATCAAATAAATAAATAAAATAAAATATAATAAATATAATAAATATGATTAATATAATACATTTAATATGTGAACAGTTAATATTACTTGATTCTGCCTCTTCGTCCACAATTTTCACTTGTAAATGAAGTTTAGAGTTATAATTACAATTACTATTATTATTATAATTATTATGATTTATTGATAAATTCACTAAATAATAAAATAAATAAATAATAAATAATAAAGAATAAATAATAAATGATAAATAATAAATAATAAAATTGATAAATTATTAACTTATTTTTATTATTAATATAATTATATATCTTACTTTTTTACTTGAATATCTTTTTTTTCAAATATTGTGTTTAGAGAAATGACAAACTTTACTTAAAGGACTTAAAAATTATTATAATAAAATTTGAAAAATCAAGGTAAGAAGAATTTTACTATATATCTTTATTTTATTTTCTACTTTAAACCTTAATTTATCATCTTATGTATTATATGCATGCATTTTTATTATTACACGAGAAATAAGAATTAAAGAACATTCTCCACGTGTCAAATAATTTGTTGACATTTGACATTTTATCTTCAAAAAAAGAGATGTTGATTTTTTCATAAAAAGTCTTTTATTGAATTTTAGGAAATAATAGAAATTATATTCGATCTCCAGGGTATTGTTTAATCGTTGAATTATTGGCTCCTTAAAATTTGTTTAATTTATTTAGTACAATATTAAGATTATCTTTATTTCCTTATATAAATAACAATCTGTGTATCAAAAGAAGTCATTGTTTGGAACATGAAAATTTTCCCTTGAGTCCTTCCAGCTTTTCTGGATTTTCCGGATTTCTGAAATTTCTAAATTTCCTAAATTTGTCGCTAAAATAATATTAATATTTTTATTATTTTTATTATTTTTTTAATAAAATCTTTGTATTTCTTGAAGTATTTCCTGAAAGTATTTCTCAAAAGTATTTCTCGAAAGTATTCTTGAAACATTTCTGAAAGCATTCTTAATATTCTTGATGTATTTCCTGAATTAATCCAGATGTATTTTATAGTTATTATTAATAAGTATTCTAATAGTGTTGACCCTAATGGTCAAATTTTATTTATTATTATATTTTATCTTATTTATTATATTATTATTTTAACATTATATATTTATTAGTTTATTATTATTAGATTTTATTAGTATATACTAGGAAAATGGGAACCGTTGTAAGTCCAGAGTAAAAAAATCTGATATCATATAACTAATTTTTTTTTATCTTTTACAATTAAATCAATGTAATTAATTAATATATTTTTAAATCAATGTATTATACTGCAATTAATCAATGTATTTTTAACTTTTATAATTATATTGAATTAAATTACATCAGGAAATTTTTCTAGTGTAAACCTTCGAAAGTTAATGTTAACATAAGTATTTTGCTATTTTTCAATATGTTATCCTTCGAAGGTCTTCGCTAACCTTCGAAAGTTATCAATTTTGATATTTTCATGTGGCAAAATTTTGCAAATATTATTGTTTTCATAGTAAATTCATATTGATAACCTTTGAAGATTATTGATTTTGATATTTTCATGTGTGAAATTTTATGAATATTATTGTTTTCGTAGTAAATTCGTATCAATAACTTTCAAAGGTTATTAATTTTGATATCTTCTTGTACAAAATTTTGCAAATATTATTATTTTCGTAATAATTTCGTATCAATAACTTTCATTTATGTTAGATATTTATAATATATCATTTCAATGGTTATCACTTGCATTTATATCACTGCAATTTTTAATTAACATTGTACTGTCAATGATATTCTTCGAAATCTATCGCAACAATTTTAATTAATATTGTATTGTTAACAATATCTTTCAAAGTTTATTATAGCAATTTTAATTGACATTACACTGTCAATGATATTCTTCAAAGTTTATTGCAGTAATTTTAATTGACATTGTATTGTCAACAATATTCTTCAGAAGTTTATCGCAACAATTTTAATTGACATTGCACTGTTAACAATATCTTTTGAAGTTTATCTATACCTGCCACCCAAATTCAAAATCCAAATGCCAAAATCCCAAATGCCAAAATCCCAAATTCCAAATTCCAAATTCCAAATTCCAAATCCCAAATTATGATTAGTAGTTTTTGCTGAAATCCCAAATCCCAAATTCCAAATACTAGTAATTTGGGATTTGGGCAACACGTATAAGTTTATCATAACAAAATTACATTGTTAACAATATCTTTCAAAATTTATCATAACAATTAAGGTTAATATTTATGTTCACTGAATGTAATTATATTATTGTTATAATTTTATTAGATATTATATTGATCCAAAGTTTATTAATATTAATACATTCCCAAAATCTTTGATGATTTAATATATTATAGTTAAAGATTTTCAGAATAACTAGACAATTAACAAATATCTTTCAAAGTTTATATTACTGCATTTTAATCAAAATCAATATCTTTCAAAGTTTATCATATCGTTGATTATTGTTTCAAATTTTCTTCAAAAATTTATGTTTTTTGTTTGTACAACAAGATTAGTTATCTTATATGACTTATTATTTAACTATATATTTTTTTGTTTATTTTCAGAATAACTATTTTTATTTTCTTTAAACAATCCATATGAAACTTTTCAAAAAGAAATAAATTTATATTTTTGTATTTTGTTATTGTTATATCAAAACACACCAAATAAAAATCAATAATTTAAAATATATTTAATAATATTTATTGGCTTGCATCAATTTTATTTTATAACTTAATAACAAGTAAATAAATATATTTTATACTTTGTTTACTTTCAGAAATATCTCATTAACTTTAACATATACTTATAAAACATTTCGAAATGATATATTTATATCTTCTTATCATTTATTTTATCAATAGAATATCTTTGAAGAAATGAAAACTAATAAGTTATTTTTGCAAATTTATAAAGTAAAAAAATTCAAAAGTTTTCTGTATAATTTAAAGATCTTTTTTTAAAGAATTTATTTTATTAAATAATTATATTAAAGTTTTATATAATAATATTTAGAATTATACATTAGTGTTAACCGTAATTACCTTTACTAAACACAATTAACTAACAACTGATAACAGTGTTAACCTTATTTCTTAATTTTTATATATATTTTTATTAACATTATTATATTAGTTTATTAGTTAGATTTCTTTA